ATGCTGTGCATGTAAAGAGCATGGTCTCTGGTAGCTAATAACTACCGTAAGCATGCAAACATGTAGGTGACATAGTTGCTCATGTCTTCCATATATTCAAACTTACTGACACCTCCTTGATGCTCTGGAAGTATCTTCTGTTGTGCATGGTAGTGCCTGAGAATGGAGGAACCATTCCCTTTCTTAATTAAACCATGTTATTTGTTTAAAATAGTGTTGGACCCTCTAAGATTATTGCAGGTTTTCTTGCACGAGGAGTGTCTTTAGTACTGCCTGTTAAGTTCCTGTCACACTTTTCCCATCAGGCCTGACTTACGATGAAGTCATCAGCTTTGTGCCACCACCACTTGACCAAGAGGAGATGGAGTCCTGAGAAACTGCTCTCTTCTGCTCATCCCACTTCACTGTGAGGGGAAGGCCTTTTCGTAGGGACTCTCCAACTATCATTCAAGTGCCTCGTCACAATATTCTCCTTGGTGGAGGGGTTTTGTGTGTGTTGAACTGGGGGGGTGGGAGGGGGAGGGAAGAAGCTGAGTCTATGTAAACATGCTGCATGCTCTCTTGTATTCTGTGTCCAGCCTGGAGCAAGCCTCTGAAGAACCTGTTGTGCCCGCGCATTAGTCCTGCCAGAGTAACAGTGCACAAACAGTTTGCACTGCTGGGGCAAGGTGGGGAAGGTGATGTTAAGTTTGGTTACAATCATTGCCATTTATCAATTCTTCTACAACTGAGTAACCTCAAAAGAGTGAAAGTTGGTTTATAGGCTTAGAGAGTCCTCTGTTTCCTTCAGGACTGCAGATGGCGTTGAGGGATGTCCTTGCTCAATGCCAGATGGCTGATGTCCAGGTCTTCCTGGTACAGTAGAATGTACAGGCCTTCTCATGTCCAGTTCATGGATCATGAAAAGGTTTTGTTTGAACTTGTAAATATGTTTGTGCCTTAAATGAATGGGGGGAGAGGGGAAAGGAAGTCTAGAGTTGAAATCTGACCTGCTGGATTTTGGGGGGGAAGGCTCCCAGGTAGTCAGGCATGAACTCTGTGTTATCAGGAAATAACTTTCCGAGGCAGCAGCCTCTACCCCTGGATTGAGTGTTCCTGTATCTTTCCCTCTTGCCCTCCTCTCATTCTGAGGCTTCCCAGCATTAATCCCCAGGAGACAGGGGCTGGAGAAGATTCTTGCTAGCCGCACGTTGGTGTATTTTGCTCCTTACAAGGTGGGGTGGTTTTGCATGTCGTTGCTGTCTGTGCATGTAGAGCTGCTTGATTTTTCTCATTACTTCTCGGGGATGGCAGTGGGGCAGTTAAACCATCGGTGAACACCGAGTACCTCAGCCAGCGCCATGAAATCACAGCATCCTTCCTCATGTGTTGCAGCTCATTGTGAAATACCTGCCATACTGGAGGCTCTGAGGAGGAAAGGAGAAAACATACGGCATAGACACATGCACCTTTTAGTTTGTTCTGACCTTCTGGTTTCAGAGGAAGAGAGGTTGGGATGAAGGGTTTCTCGCAAGATCAAATGTAAAATGTTCAAAGAACCAGCTATGTCATCTTGTGCCACAACTTAAGTTATTTCCTGACAAGATGTTTTTAGAAATATTGGAATCCAAAGCAAAGAAATAAGCATGCATAAATCCACAATCTCCCTTTTGCTGTCTATATCTATAAATATAAATATTTATATATAAAAACCTAACATTTACTAGAGGTTGTGTTTTTTTTACCCTCTTGGGTAAGAGCTGCTTGGCTGTTTTTGAGCAGGTTGGTCTCTGCCTGAGGAAACACGAAAAAGGGAGTTTGTTTGAATGCAAACGTAGTTCGGATACTTTGAATTTTATAGGAGTCTGCATGAGTGAAACACCCAGAGGTAGAGACCCGTAGGAGGGAGGTTTCCCAGCATGTGCATGTGCTGCACCTGGGGAGCTCAGGAGCCCAGCTTTAGGATTTAAAGGAGATGGTTTTAGACATTTATGTGTGGATAGTGTAGTTGTGTATGTGAGGAGAAAGGCTTTTGCAGTATTTCGTACTCTTGTTACCTATGGGACGGAGAGGAATTGTCAGTAGTGCTTTTACCCCGTGTTTGGAGAGGCTGCACAAAGGGATGGGACAATTGATTCTTCATAGGCTACTTTCCAGTGATCTCTTCAGGTCAAACACTTAATAAAGGTGTGAGGTGAGGTGAAGAGAGCAGTTACGTCATGCTCTGGGATAAAACTCTCCTCAGCCCAACAAAATCAAGACGTAATCCCCTCCCTTTTCTGCTGGACCAGCAGTCCAGGTATCCAAATGAAAATGTAGATACACTCTAAACCTACAGCAAGATTATTTTTAATCTGCCGTTTTATGTGTAGATGCTACAGTGTGATTTTGTGCAGATATTGCTAAATGATTTTAAAACCCAATCTAGACATTGTGTGTGTGTGTGTGTGTGTGTCTGTGTGTGTGTGAGTGGGAATGTTCCATCCAGAGCTTGTCCTTGGAGGCAGCCCATGTGGGATGCACTCCCTTGCCTGCAGTGCAGCCTCAACAGGACGCACTTGCAAGAAGAGATCTGCTCTTTGGGTTCTATCCATGAACTTTGCTGTAATTGGTTATGCCAGAGAAGATGTCGTGATACCACTGGTTTAAAAAATAAAACCTATTTTTCAGATTTACTGCACTCATGGTACTTGCAAACCTCTTGCTCTGAGGGGCTGGTGCTCACTCAGTGTCTATTCCTCCCTCGTGTTGAAGGGGATCCTGTGTGTGGTGGCTGGGGCATGGGGGTTGAGGCTACAGGACCTGTTGACTGACACTGGATTGTGTCCATACTTGTCCCAAAGAAATTACTTGCTACAAAAATAGCTCAGAGTCTGACCACGAGTACTGGACGCAGAAGAAAGTATTTTCTGTTTGGTACAAAACCACGATAGCCTGGTACCTGTCCAGGCTGGGGACCCTTCCCCAGCAGCACTGCTTTGTGTTTGTTTGCCCTTTTTAAAAGTGGTTTGTTTTCCTCTTCAGCTGCCATCTAGTTGGTGGTGGAAGGGTGTTGGCAGGAGCAGGAGCTTCATGGCTCCATGGTGGAGCTTTTCTGACTTCTGTTGAGTGTTGGTGCACTTCACGCTGAAGAACAACTGACTGAAGTTGACCAAACCCTCAGTAACTGATGTTCCCAGTGCCCTTATCTGCTGAGGTGGTTCCAGTTGATCCAGCTCAGATACCCACCACACATGTGCTCCCCAGCAGCAGTCACAGTGAGTACAAGAACAGTGTGGGGTGTTCTCTCGGCTGTGTGGGAGCTGCCCTCCTGCTGGCTTCACCCTCTGCTTGCCTTGGTGCAAACAGAGAGGAGGGGAAAAGCCCCACCAGGACCTGACACTGTTTTCTGGGAGGAAAAAGAATCCAGAGTACCCAAGATAGACAATTCCAGGATGTGCTCAGTTACAATATAGAATCAGAATGGTGAGGGTTGGAAGGGACTTTAAGATCATCTAACCTGATAAGCAAAAAAAACAGCTAAAATCAGTGAGAATTGGGTTGGGGAAACAAACTCCCTGTACAAAATGAAATCACTTAACTCAAGGTTCCTATTCAGTTTGGATCAGTCACTTGAATTAATTCATCTTTCTACAGCCCAGACATGCCCTAGGTATTTAGAACTCCTTAATTGTGCACAATGACCTGTGTGTGCATGTGTAGTTGAGCAAGAGCTGTGTTCATAAAATAACAACCAAGTTACATATTTGCTTAAGTCCAGGGAGTTTGCTGTAACACCTCTTGCTCACAGGTGTATTTATAGCACCAAGCCAGCTGTAGGTTGGTTTCCTGACTGCAGTTGCTACAGCTGTGGTTTATTTACATGTATTTGCATAGGCAAGGATAAAACATTGCCATAGCAGCTTGGTGGTGGTTTGTAGGACCTTGCTGTGGCTGTTTGAAGGGGTCAGGGTTGATACATACCGCACTGGTTGCCTGTAAGGAGGTAAAATTAATTTTTCTGAACCCCCTTGTGGTGTTTTTTTTTCCGTAATTCCCATTTCTCAGGTAGCTTGGCTCTGGTCCTGCCATGCGGATGCACTCGGAGCAGGGCTGCCTTTATGGGTGGCATGGATGGAGGGCACACAGGCTACAGGCAGGCTTGGGGTGAGGGTGGCGAAACACTCTGTGAGCAGTTTGGGCTGGCTTGGTAAGGCACAGCTTAGTCACTTCCTTCGGGAAGTGTAGGATCACCTACCTCCTGTGTGGGAGCCCCACCGGAGCCTCCTGAGGCTGCAGCAAAATGTCGAGGTGCTCCCTGCTCACCAGGAATGGGCTTCCTTACAGGCTGGGTTTGCTGGCCTGGTCCTGGTGGGTGCAGCAGTGAACCCCAGCACTGTGTGGCCTGAGAAGGGATGAGATCTGCTGGAGGAGATAGAACAAGACCCAGCAAAGCCTGGGGCAGGAGCAGATCTTGGGCTGAACCCGTCTCGCAGCCGCTCCCAAACCTCCTCACTGCAGTCTCTGCAGCGAAGGTGGAAAGGACGGAAGATGGAAAACTGCTGGGAAGCTAGGCTTGGGAGAAAATGGTTATCGCCTTCTCGCTGTTGTGCGGACGTATCGGCCTGCTGCCCTTCATCACGAGGAGCCGAAGCTGCCCCCCATTAGCTGGAAGGAAGAATGTTCCCGCTTGTCTGACGAGGCGCTGTGGCTTGTCCCCCGGATTCCCCGGCTCCGCGAGTCCTTACTCATCAGGGTCAGGATTTCACGAGACCCCAACCCGAAGACATTGCCGTGCTGGTGCCTGGTGGCAGCACAGCGGCCGAGGTGCCGGTGTCGGCGCTCCCGGAGCTGTGGGGCAGAGCCCAGAGGCACCTGGAGAGACCGAGGCGTGTCGTGAAACCTGATGCCTCACCTCCCCGATGTGGAGGCGGAGGGAGGGCCGAAGGACATGTCCCTGCGCGCTCACTGCCCCTGAGAGCGGAGGAGGAAGCTCACGGGAGCTTCTCTGAGCAGCGCAGGAGCCCTCCCGTACACCAGGACTCTGGGGGGGTGGCAGTCCCACACCCGCCGGGCGATGAACATCACAAGGAGAAGAGGCTTCTACAGACAGGAGGTGAACAAAACCCTCTGGGAGCTGCCCAGGAGATACACATCCCTCCACCCGCTGGGGTCTGGAGCCTACGGCTCAGTGTGGTGAGTGGGGCCCTGCCCGCATGGGGTCAGCTCGGGGTGTTGAAGTGTCACGGCAGGGGGAAGCGAGGAGGTGCTTCTGGGCACCCCTCCATTAGGGAAGGACATTTGCATGTGTGATGAAGGCGGTCTGCCTCCCGCTCCAGTGCAGGCAGCGGCTTGGAGACCTGCTTGCTTGCAGGAGCTGAGATGCTTCCTCCTGTGGTGGCCCCGGGTGGGCAAAGGGGAGTCACCTCGGTGGGTGTGCTTAGACAGCAGCTTGAGGATCAAGGCAGGGCTGCTGGGGACAGGGAGGCACCTTGGGGTGTCCCATTGGCACTGGGGATCAGGCAGCTTTGGAGCTTCCATTGAGACTTGTGTCAGACAACCAGGGGAAGACACCTGGCTGTCTGCAGCAGGGCTGCTGTGGCATGGCCTTGCTACTTGGTTCAAGGCAGCTGATGTTTACTGGTGGTACTGGCAGCCCGGGGGTAAGGGTTGGAGTTTTCCAACCTAGCTGATTCTGTGATTCCATTCTATGATTCTATGCTGTGCTGCCTGGAAAAGGAGCTGGACAATACAATACAATGGCCACCTTGATTCAGCTTCCAGCTAGAAAAACTAAAACAGGAGTTACTCAAAACCAGGATCAGTCACAGGCTGGGGGTGATGCCCAGCCTGCAAGAGAGCAGCACAACTGCTGTTAATGAATCAGTTGGGCAAAGGCACCTGTAGCGAGAGCAAGCCCAAGTCAGACCTTGCCTGCTTTAGAGGGGCTTTCTGAAAGGTTAAATCTGAAGCAGTCCAGTGCCAAGGCCTCAGCAGAGCACTTGATTTGAAACACAGCGAGCTGCATGAGCAGGCGTGTCCTCTGCTGTAGGTGTGAGGCAGTCTGCCGGCTGGCCCAGCTGATCCTGACACCCTGGGGCCCAGGCTCTGTCCTTATCCCCCAGCTACCCGGTGTTTTCTTTCCCCCTTTTGCTGTTCAGGTTCATTTAAGCTTCTGAGATGCTTGAATGAATCTTTCAAAACCAGGCAAGCCTAAACCTGTCTGTTTTGGTTTTTTGGTTTTTTTTTGTTTTTTTTTTTTAATATATATCATAGAATCATAGAACAGTTAGGGTTGGAAAGGACCTTAAGATCATCAAGTTCCAACCCCTCTGCCATGGGCAGGGACACCTCACTCTAAACCATGGCACCCAAGGCTCTGTCCAACCTGGCCTTGAACACTGCCAGGGATGGAGCATTCACAACCTCCCTGGACAACCTATTCCAGTGCCTCACTACCCTCACAGGAGAAAGAATTTCCTCCTTATAACCAATCTAAACTTCCCCTGTTTCAGTTTTAACCCATTACCCCTTGTCCTATCACTACAGTCCCTAATGAAGAGTCCCTCCCCAGCATCCCTATAGGCCCCCTTTCAGATACTGGAAGGATGCTAATTTGTGCTGTTTGCACAATATTGTCTGATTTTTATCACAAAGGAAAGCAGGAAGACTGAAAGAAAATAGGACATAAAAGGGGAAGAGAAATCCTTCCAAAGTCTCTTTGCACTCCAGAGAAAACCAAACATCAACAAGACACATCTTTTACTGGTTCCTGTGATAGTCTCGGCTGCTCTGAGGCCTCGGGGAAGGGAGCAGTGGGTGCTGAACCAGCCCTGAGTACGGTGTGGTGGTCGCAGCATCCATGGGCAGTGCTCAGCAGAGAGGATTCCTTCACAAAGCCGAGGTGGAAGCCTGTGGAGTTTTAGACTTTGCTGTCCTCTGCTGGGAAGTGCTGGGAAGTTTTCTGGTCCCAGCGTTATTTGGAGCTGCTGGTTTTTATACCCCGTTGATCAGCTGAGAAGCTAGCTTAGGAAAAACGGCAAACGTGTTAATTCCCTCATTAATTCTGCCCATATCTGTAGTGATTTAGTTTCCAGCTGAATGTAAGTGGTGGAAGAAGATTTTTCCACAAGGATGTGGGGAGGGACTCTTCATCAGTGATAGGACAAGAGGTGATGGGTTCCAACTTAAAACAGGGGAGATGGAGCTGAGCTCTTAGGCAGAAGCTCTTCCCTGTGAGGGTGCTGAGGCGCTGGCACAGGGTGCCCAGAGAAGCTGTGGCTGCCCCATCCCTGGCAGTGCTCAAGGCCAGGTTGGACACAGGGGCTTGGGGCAAGCTGCTCCAGTGGAAGGGGTCCCTGCCCGTGGCAGGGGTTGGAGCTGGAGGAGCTTTCAGGTCCCTTCCAACCCAAACCAGTCTGGGATGCTGTGATTCTGACCGTTCAGTGCTGGTCTTGCCCATTGCTGCCAGCCGGTCCTGGCTGCATCACCTTGAATTAACTTTGGCTGTGCTTTATGGTAAGGGGGAAAGCAGCGTAGTCACTGCTGGGCTGGGGGCTCCATCACAGACTCTCCTGCACTGGGGGCTTGGCTGCTCCAGGGAAGGCAAGTGAAAACATGCGCTATCTAATCAGGAAACCTGCCCTAAACCTGAACCTGTTTGACTCTCTGGTCCAAGTCCCTTCTGCTTCCTTCCCTGGCTCCTTGGAGGCCTTTGTGCTGTCCTCTCTGCCTGCTCAAGCCCTGAAGCTGAGACAACTCATCACTGGGATCTTCAGCACTGAAGCTGCCTTGTATAGCTGTTCTTGCCTCTCCCTTTGCCTTTCCCAGCTGAATGCATTGGTGAAATTGCCATCAAACGCTCCCAAAGGATGCTTTTTGCTCTCATCACGCACAAGTTTGAACAACTGGAAAGGACAAAGGAGGGTTGCCCTGATATCAGGGTGGTTGACGGGAGCTATTGATAGCCCAGACTGATGTTGGAGGCACCACAACTCGTCGTCTGTGGCTGACAGTCAGGAAAAGCTGTGCAACAGGCTTCCAAGATGTGCAGCAAGGAGCTGATAACCCCTCTGCAGTGTTGAACCATAGGGAAAGTCACACGGAGTGGGATGTTCCCACCTCTCCTAATGCTGTTACCCCTTAACCCAACAAAATGAACTGTTTGTGATGTTATAAACAGTATTTCCCTGTTGATTTATGATGTCTTGCCTCTGAATGATGGCCCTGGAGGATACAGTAATCATTGGTTCAGTTTTGTGGTACCTGCCCCTCTGAGAGCCTCAAGGAAGGAGCAGTGGCTGGAGCCTGGCAGCTGGGGACTGTGGCAGCATGAACCCTGTGTTCCTGCAGAGGAGGTGGGGAAGGTGCCTGTGCAAGGCTGGAGGACACCTGCAAAGGGCTAATGCCAGCACTCATGTTGGCCTGGTTACCCTGTGCTGTGGGACTGAACATGCTGATGTTCAGCCCTCCCACTTCCCATGGAGATCAGGGTTTACAAAGCAGTGGGAACTGCCCTGGAAACCCGCAGTGCACTTTGGTGCAGGGAAAGCCCTTTCTGCTTCTCTGTCTCTTGGAGGGGTTGAGATGGGTCTGAGGCACCAAGATCCCTCTGGGGAACACCACTGAGATGCCAGATTACAGCTCTCCAGACTGAGGACTGTCTCCCACTTCTTGTCTCGTGAGACCCAGAGCCTCCCTTGCAACCCAAGAGCCTCCGGAAGCAGAGGAGGCATCACAGGATCACCCTATCCAGCCACAAATAGCACATGTGACCAGAGGGAATAACACATCACATCTCCAATGACAGCTGCTGTGCTGTGTTTTCATTTGCTTCATAGAAGCTGCTCACTTTCAGCCAGACCTGCTGAACACAGAAGCATTTGTGTAGCATCCAGGGTCCCAAATGTGGGAGAATTCACTCCAGCAGCCTGTATTTTCAGTGTGTGACAGCCGCTGTCTTTGCTCCAGAGCACAACAAAGGCAGCTGAAGTACCTTAAAAGACAACAGTCTCCAAGCAGATGGCAAAGCAAGAATTGCTTTATTCCCTTTATTCCCTGTGTTAGGGAAAGGGAAGGCAGAGTCAGAACTAACTGCGAGCTTTACCCATTTGTGTTTCCCTCTTCTCACAGCTCTGTTAGCTTCAGCTTGTTTCTGCAGGTTCCTGGCCACTGAGGCTGTGTTTGGTGTCCACCTAGGTCTCCAAAGTGCACAGGCTGCTGCCCAGATTATAGGGGGCAATGCCTGCCTGTGCAGAGCTCCTGTGGGTTTCTCAAGAGGCCTTTCTTTGCTCTTCTGCAAGCTCCAGAGTTAGTTCCTCCTTAGGAGAAGACCTTTGGTATCCCAAAATATTGCTGATGTCAGAACTGGTTTTTATTTGTCTGCCACAGTTCGGCCATAGACAAGAAGACAGGGGAGAAGGTGGCTATCAAGAAGCTCTGCCGCCCATTCCAGTCGGAGATCTTTGCCAAGAGAGCATACAGAGAGCTCATGCTGTTGAAGCACATGCAACACGAGAATGTAAGTACTCACTATGAGGGTGCTGCGGCACTGCCACAGTGTGCCCAGAGAAGCTGTGGCTGCCCCATCCCTGCAAGTGCTCAAGGCCAGGTTGGACACATGGGCTTGGAGCAAGCTGCTCCAGTGGAAGGGGTCCCTGCCCGTGGCAGGGGTTGGAGCTGGGGGAGCTTTAAGATCCCTTCCAACACAACCCATTCCCTGATGCTACGATTTCTTTCCATTTGTGCTGAAACAGGGTGGGGTTCTTGCCACGTGGGAGAGTCCTTTCTGGTGGCATCACCTTTATTTTAATGGAAAGGTCCTGACTCTTGGCACATGTGGGCAGTCTCAGGGTTTAACTGCTACCTGCCTGCTGTGCCCAGTTGGCACCAGGCTGAAGGAGATGTGTAATGGGTGCTCCTGTGTATTAGTAAGAGGAAAAGCAGCTGCACAGCATAGTGAGCAGTCCTCACATTCCTCAGGTGATGTTCCTGGTGCTCACCCATGTGCGTGTGCCAATGGAGCGCTGCTACCTGAGTCCACACGTGCTCAGCAAATGCTTTCCAGGTTTAACTGTGGACTACTTCTCTTCTCCATCAGGTCATTGGCCTTCTTGATGTCTTCACCTCTGCTGCCTCCTACCAGGGCTTTCAGGATTTGTAAGTTCACGTTTGCTCTGTCTAACTCAGCCCTTGCCCAAGGTGCCTATGACTTAGCAGCAGTGTAACAGATCAGGTTGAGGTGCAGTCCCATAGATGGGGTTGAAAAGGGGCCAGACTAAAGCCAGCCATCCCCCCAAAACAGAAGCAAAAGCACAAGTCAATTCCTGTGGTTAAACCACCCAGGACACACAAACAGACCCCATGCCATGCTTGCAGCTGGAAGAACACAGTGCAGATAGAGCAAGGTGTCTAACATTCCATGGCATATCACAGGCATCATGGTCCATGCTAACGTGCTGCCTGTGGGACTGCTGAGCTAAGAAGCTGTGCTCAGAATGGGACAAGAATTGTTCATCAGGCCCTCTCAGTAATTGAACAGAATTTTAAAGATCTGGCTTTCTTCTCCTCTCAATACTGGCTATTCTTTTTCTTGTGGCATTTCTCTCAGTTGCTGGTTAGGCTGGGTGGGTTTTCCCTTTCCCATCTTTGGGCGTGAGCAGCATGTGCCTGGGTTTGGGTGTTTAACAGCCTGCAGAAGTGTTTGAAGGTTCTCAGAGCAGTTCCTGCTGAAGATTATCAACTAATGAGCAGTCTCAGCATGCAGGCCAAAGACTGGAGGAAGCTCAGTGTCTTCCAATGCAGGACTGCAGAACATTACCAAGATAAATTTGGAAGCAAACACAGCGATTTTGCAAGACTCTTTAAAGCTGCACAAGATGTTTCAGTTCCTGGATGGTGTAAGGCCATCTGGAACCGACATCACTTGATGTCTAAAGTAAACTAATTCAGGATCGTTGGAGTTTGAAACATCCTTGACCTTATTTGATGTCAGATATCTGATTTAAGGGGAGGAGAGAAAGCAGTTTTCAGAGCAGGTGAACTCCCAGCATCACTGCAGGCTGTGCTAGTCACCCAGCAGCACTGTCACAACAACTCAACTTAGTTACAGTAAGTTACATAGCCAGAAAAATCCCCAGGAAGCCCAAGTGAGAGAGAACAAGGCTAGTCTGGTTCCCTGTGTTTTTCTTCTAGACTCAGGGCCTTGTCTTACTGCCTTTTAGCTACCTGGTGATGCCATACATGCGGACAGACTTACAAAAGATCATGGGACATGAATTCAGTGATGAAAAGATCCAGTACCTGGTCTACCAAATGCTGAAAGGGCTAAAGGTAGGTGGGACTGGAGGAGTTTAGTGACTCCCTGTGTCTCCTCTACATGTCACCTCTGGGTTGACCATAACTAAACCCCCTTCCAACACTAGTTGGAAGATTTGGGGGGGTTCTTGGCATCCCCTGAGATATTTGCTGTTGAGCTGCTCTTTTTCCAGCACACATCAATAAAGCGACTGCTTGTTCACATCAGTCAATTGGCTATTGAAGCAAGCATCAGTCCTAACCCTGGCAACTGGTTTTACCATGACAGCAGTTGTGCTGTTTTTTGACTAGCCAAAACCCTTAGCAAAACTGTGTAGAAAGAGGCTGGCAGCAGTAGGAGCCTCTGCTGAATTCCTCACAGAGGCTCTCAGGGAGCAGATGGAGGGAATGATTTTCTGTTCAATAGAATAAGGAAGGGATTTGCTGCTGTAACCAGCTTTGAGAGCTGAGGGCAGTCAAACCTGGGGTGTGGAGGTGGTGGAACATCCCTCACCTGGAGTCAGAGCAGGGACTTCCAGGCACCAATGAGTTCATCTTAATAACACCTTTCCACAGATCACTGTTACCTGAAGTTTAAATAGAGGGGGGAAGAGCACACAGAAGGTTTAATTGGTACGACAAAAGCCATGTAGTCAGGTTTTGCGACTGGACAATTAGATTATTTTTCTCTCCACGTAGTTTAACACCCAAAATAACAAAGTTTTCCTGTCATCTGCTGCCTGTGCTCCTCCCTGTAATCCTGATGCCTTTGTTTGATAGTTTGAGGCTATTGGTATGCTTGTGCTAAAGAGCTATTGCTTCATCTCTCCTCTGCTGCTCCACACCTCCTCTTTAGAGTGGCAGTATCATAGCAAATAGTCAGAAATCAAGTGCAGGGGCTTCAGTGCAGGATCTGCTACCCCGGGGACCTGCAGCCTGCTGCAGAGTCATGTTCTCAGCAAGTTCTTGGTTGTAGCTCTCATTTCTCTGCTGGAGACCAGCAAGTCTTGTCTGCTGGCGATCACATTGTGCCTTCTCTTTTTATTGCAGTATATCCATTCAGCTGGCATCATACACAGGGTGAGTTCATGCGTGCCTTTCCTCTGCTTTTTGTCTCTTTAGGAGAAACACAGCTTGGTTGTAAAGTGAATGAATTCCTAAACGTCTTTTCACTAACAGCCTTCTCTGCTCTAAGGTCTTTCTCCTCCTATATCCTGTATCTGTTTGGATTTGATCATTTGTGCAGCTTTTTTAGGAAACGCCGTATTTGCTGATGAGCTGAGGAAGGTTTTATGATGCTTTCTGAATTGAAACTATTTCAGAAAAAAAAGAATCAGTAATGTAAAGCTGTACAGTATAGCAGCACAGTGACTCTGCTGTGCAGACACTGGAGTTGGGATGTTACGGGACCCTGTCAAAAGCAAGCAGAGGTTTGGCTGAGGCTCATGTGGATGTGTTGCAACTCCAGACATCCTCATGACTCCACTCTTGTCTGTTGTAGGACCTGAAGCCAGGCAACCTGGCTGTGAACGAAGACTGTCAGCTGAAGGTAGGTGGAAAAGCACCACTTTGCAGCATATCAGATTGTGGAGGAACTGCTCTGCCAGCAGGAATTTGGCACTGTCATGTTTCCTCTCTCCTTCTGAGACCCGGTTCAAGGCGTTGCATTACTCAGCGGTTGCAGGCAGTGGGAAATACTCACCTGCTGATGTAACTTGCTGAATCAGGGCCCAGGACTTGGAATGAACATCCTGTTGTCATAATTCCTGCTTCTTGGCAGTTCCTAACGACTTCCTAAGTAAATTCAATCCTGCTGAGCAATACTTGTGTTAGGTGTATTATCCCTGAAGGATAACTGCAGTCAGCCACAGCTGCCCTTTGGTTCTCATTGACGTGGTGGTTGTGATTCTGCACAAAGCTATTTTCAGTATCGCTCTGAGGAGTTTCCTTGCAGCTCAGTGGTCCAGTGCTCTGGCACCTCTCTTCTGCAATGTGTATTACAGGGCATGGCTGGAGAGGTTGGGTCAAGGGATATTCATTTCCAGTACCGAGGGAGAGGCCATTGCCAGTGAGCTGCAAGGTGTTTTGATAGGAAAGGGTGAGTGGTGGTGGCTTGTGAGCTGCCAGGCTGTGAAACAGCTCAGTTAAATAAAGCTCATGGAGTTGAAACTTAAGCTTCAAGAAATGACCTTTCAGGTAGCTCACAGCACTGATCCTTTTGGCAGGGTCTTCACACAGCTGGTTGTGCAGCCAGCTTGCAATTCCCGAGGGAATTAAGAGAAACCTGTTAGTTCTTTGAACTGTCCCGTGGGTGGCTGTGGTGTAGTCGGAGCTTCCTTATTATCTGATTGGATCTGCTTTGTTTCCTTGTGGAAGCAGATTCTTGCTTGCCTGTAGGATTTCTCTTTTCTGCCTTTCCTTCTCCCTTTTCCTTTGGTGAACTGCAGATCTTGGATTTTGGCTTGGCCAGGCACGCTGATGCTGAAATGACAGGCTACGTGGTTACGCGCTGGTACAGAGCCCCAGAAGTCATTCTGAACTGGATGCATTACAACCAGACAGGTGAGCAGCAGCGTGACTGCCTGGTGACAAGCCCAGGGATCCCTGGACCACACCTGGGTCACATCTCATATAATCCTCCAGATGTTTTCCCTCTTTATCATCTGTGTTCCCTAAAGCAGAGTGAGTCTCAAAGCTGTTGCACGACTCCCAGAGCTTGTGCCTGCGGGAAGTGATGAAAGCAGAGATTTTAGTGGCGTAGAAACAACAGGGGAGGGTGGAAAATGGGAGTGACATTTAAACTGGTGCCTGATGCAAGCAACAAAACAACAGCCCAGCAATCATGGCTGCCTTTTTACTGTCCTGGTTTTGTCTGTTTTGCTCTCTGAACAGTGGATATCTGGTCTATTGGCTGTATCATGGCAGAAATGCTGACTGGGAAAACGCTGTTTAAAGGAAAAGACTGTATCCTTTCAAGTTAAACCTTTTCCCTGGGGGGGGAGTAATAGTTTTTGGGGGGTGTGAAGGGCCTTTTATGAATGAGAAAAGCAGAAGTCAGTCTGGTTTACTAGGAGGTAATTGCAGGGAAATGGAGAGAATGGGAGGAGGCCAAGCCAGCCTTAGAAATACACCTCTGTGCTGGCCATATATGCTCTATGTCAGTCTACTTCACATAGCCATAGCTCCAACCCCAAAACCTCCCGTATCCCCCAAGCCCATGGCAGACCCCCTGGCAGAGTTGTGCCAGCAATATTATCTGTTGCTGAAAATGGCATTCCAAGAAAAAAGCCCTTGAGCTGTTTTTGGCAGTCTCCTGAGTCTCTGCGTGTGTGGCTCTGTTGGGTTTGTATCATAGCCTACTCCCAGCTCCCCCAGGCCCTGTGGCTCTGCAGCACCCAGCTGAGCTGCTGGGGGCCTCCAGGGCTCCCCCCCAGATGGGTGATCTTTAACGCAGCTGCCAGACCTGGATCAACTGACTCAGATCCTGAAAGTAACGGGGCATCCAGGAGAAGACTTTGTGGAGAAGCTGGAGGACAAAGCGGTAAGGAAGTTCCCTGTGGATTTGAGTCTTGCTGTGTGCGGTGAAGAGGGGTTACCTTGGCCATAGCTTTGAGATGGGAGGGGGCTGCTTCTCCACCACCAAAGAGGAGTGAGTGGCAGCAGTCTTGTTCCCCATGACAAGGAAGATGCTTCTCTTTGCTAGTGGAACATCTGATGGATTTGGCATTGCACTGGGAACTGGTGTGGATTGCAAGGATACCCGAGTGAGGTCCCTGATGCCCCAGTAAACTACCAACCTCCTCTGTTCTCCAGTTTGTCCTTTAAAGCAGAAATATTCCTGTGTCTCAGCTGATTAAAATGATTCCATGCAAACTGGTGACTAAAATGTGGCATCTGGGGTGACTTGCTGTTCTCTTCAGTCGCCTTTGCTCAGCTGAGCCCTGAGTCCCAAGAGCTGTATCTCACACCTCCTCGCATCTCTTTCAGGCCAAGAGTTACATCAAGTCCCTCCCTAAAATCCCCAAGAAGGATTTGTCTGTGCTTTTCCCTAAAGCCAATCCTCAGGGTAAGTCATCTCCAGGGGTTCTCAGGAGTTCTCACTGCTGGAAGGGGGCAGGTTGGCCACTACAGCTCCAGGCTTCTTTCTCCTTCTCACAGTTTCCTCGTATTTCCTCCCTTGCAGGTTGGTGCCCCTGGGCACATAAGTAGGAATTAAAGGCCAAATAAGTCTTTGCTGGTGTTAACATGGCAATGTTCTGCTGTTCTTAGCTGTTTAGTTCTTTAAGTTTAAAATGACACAGCCTGTAACACACAGTATTTGAGGAAGAGAGAAACTTCTGACTTGTATCAACAAGCCAGAAGAGAGCTGGTGCTGGGTTGAACAGGATGTTGAGGTTATGGGATGCAAGTTATGGGATTAGGACAGTTGCATTATCAGCTCCATTTGGTATGAGAGTTGGGATCAGTTTTTCCCAGTATTGGTTTGCAGAAGTCGTTCCTTGTAGCCAAGCAGGTGCTAAGTGATCAGTAGCGTTCAGGTAAACAAACCACCTCTTCTTTGTTCATTATTATCTCCCAGCTCCACATCAAAGGCATCATAGTTCTGATAAACTGTTATTTCTTTTAACTCTAAACCGTTGAAAACCTGGATCCCTTCACCCAAGAAATGCAATTTTCAGGACAAAACCTGATCTCTTGCAAGGAACAATTTTCCTGAGCAGATGAGAGGCAAGAGCGAGCAAAACTATTCTAAGATCTGAAAGTATTAAGATGTTAAAACCAAGGGGGGATGGGCCAGGCTAGGGGGTATCTGCGTTTCCTGCCTTCATGTTTACCGGTGATGCATAGATTTCTGTATAGATTACTCACGTTAAGAGTGCTTGGAGTTGTGGGGGCCAAAGTGAATGACTAAAACTGAAAACTATCTTGAAGTTGATGACATCTTAAGTTCTTTCAGCCCCATCTGTGCAGCAAGACTTATTCAAGATTAGTTTGATATTTCTGCACCATTTACATCTCCAGCTCTGTTAGTAAGAGCTCCCTGAGGCTGCTATTGGGCAGGCTTTGCGTCCCCTCCAATGGGAGCTCCACACTCCCCTGGTCAGGTTGAGGAATCTCTTTTAGGTCTGCAGATGTAGTGTTGGGAGCACCTGGCCCAGCACAGGATGCCTGTTCTCCAGCACCACCTTGCTTAGCCCTGTTCCTGTCTTCTGCAGCAGTGGACCTGCTTGACAAGATGTTGCAGCTGGATGTGGAGAAGCGCGTGACAGCCACGGAAGCGTTGGCTCACCCCTATTTTGACCAGTTCCGAGACGTTGAGGAGGAGACCGAAGCACAAGAGTCTTACGATGATTCTCTGGAACACGAAAAGCTTTCCATAGATGAGTGGAGAAGTAAGAAGTTTTTCTATTCATAGAAAATAGCTCCTGTTTAGCATGGGACTTCCCTACCCCTCTCTCTTTCCTGTACACCAGCTATAGAGCCAGGCTAAAAGAGCTGGGCTTGTTCAGCCTGCAGAAGAGAAGGCTCCTTAAGGGGAGACCTTAGAGCAGCTCCAGTGCCTAAAGGGGCTCCAGGAAACCTGGAGAGGGGCTTGGGACAAGGGATGTAGGGACAGGCCAAGGGGAATGGCTTGAACCTGCCCAAGGGGAGACTGAGCTGAGCTCTTAGGCAGAAGCTCTTCCCTGTGAGGGTGCTGAGGCGCTGGCACAGGGTGCCCAGAGAAGCTGTGGCTGCCCCATCCCTGGCAGTGTTCAAGGCCAGGTTGGACACAGGGGCTTGGAGCAAGCTGCTCCAGTGGAAGGGGTCCCTGCCTGTGGCAGGGTTGGAGCTGGAGGAGCTTTAGGGTCCCTCCTTGCTCTAGCCATTCTGATTCCATGCTGGGTAAAGCATAGATTGATGGCAGCACATAGCTCCCTTGCCATGCTCTGCTTTTATGCATTCAGCAAAGATTCCTCCAGCTCTTCAGGCAGACTTCTGTCTCTCTCTGCTTTGTCTCTCTCTTCCAGCTTCCATAACCTCTTGCCATAACCTCTCCACTGAACACCTCTCTGCACAGAGAACACTCACACTTTCATTTGTGTCCTCTAATATCACACCTTCCTGGTTCTTTTGTTCTGTTTTTCAAGAGCATATTTACAAGGAGATCTTGTCCTTCAGTCCCATTGCACGAAAGGACTCAAAGAAGCGGAGTGGGATGTCGTTATAGCAACTGGTATGGCTGTGGCTGAGATTCCCTGCTGGATCATGGATCAGGTTTACTCCATGCTGTTGTGCTGGTGGCCAGCGTTTGGCCTGTGGGACTGCTTTGTGTGCCAGCACAAGGATGACACCATGCTGTGAGCACTGGACTTTGTTCTACTAAAGGGGGAAGCACCCCAAGCAGTTTTCAACACAAAAGATAAATATATTCTCATTGCAACTTCAATTGGGAGAATTTTACCTGGTGTTTCTTTATTATTTTTTTTTACTTATTTTTTTCACGTTTGTCCACTTGAGAGCTCTGTTCTCATTAGTTTTTCCAAGCACAGCTTTTAGTGCATCAATTATGGATAAGGTCAAGGAAAAGGGAATACTGTCTGAGAAGTGAGTCCCAAGCAAAATAATCGGAAATAGTGAAATTCAGCACAAGAAGATCTAACTCTGGGAGCATTCCCTGCCCCTGAGCAGTCCCACAGCACCCAGCAGAGTGATGCTGCTGGGATTGTGTTGGCTGCAGGATACTGTGGGAACCCAGTCCATCCTGGGAAGAGTCTGTGTTCAGAGCAACTCCAAACTTGCTGCAACAGCTCCCTCTGCTCCACTGCCTTCTGTTCTTTTGCTCTGCTTGTTCCATCCTCTGATCAGTGCTATCTCCTTATTGCCAGCTGCAAACACGTCCTGGGAGCTCAAGGCCACTTCCCACCCTGACAGACCGGGTATCCCAAGGAGTGGGTTCTGCTCAGTCTGCTTTCCCCAACGGTTCTCTCTTTACCACCCTTATCTCTTGCTGAGCACCCTCTCCCTCGGGTCACCCTGCCTGTATCTCTTGGAAGAGACATTTCAACTGGTCATTTGGAAAACAGTCAATTGTCAGGGCTAAAGCTCAGCTCATATACTGGAGGGGAAAAAAAGCAGGGAAGTATGTTGCATGAACAATCAAGCATTAGAAGGGGGAATGCAATAATTCAACTTGGTGAGCACAGAAAACTTCAGGTACCTTAGTTTCTTGGTATCAGATCAGCTTCTTCAGTTGGCATCATTATAAATTGCATCTAAGGTAAACTCATTAAGTAGAATATCTCACAAAACCCACCATGGGCTAGAGAACATCCTTCTGAATAAGAGCTTCAGCCCCTTCACTGCACTTCCACTGAGGGTTTGACTTTTTTGTCTGCCTGTGCAAATTTTAATTCATTCACTTACTTAGTGAGTAATTCTTGGTAGCTACAAGAAGTCACCTTCTGAGATGCTTGGGGTGGGATGGAGAGTATGTGTCTCCCCAGCCCGCTGCATACAAACCTGCTCTGCCTTCAGCAGGCACAGAGCTTTGTACAGGGTGAAAAACAACACAACAGTCTTTCTTTTTTCCCCTGGATGGGGACCAGAAGAATTGTAGGATGATGTGAGAAGATCCAGACAAGCTGACTGGATTGAATTGCTTTGGAAATGTGTTCAGATAACCAGAGGGAGGTGTTTTTCTCAACACAGACCAACCAGACAGTCCTCTGGTTCCTGCCTCCAGGGCCAGTTTGTAACATCTTTTGGTTGTACACTAAAGTCATTCAAATTTTAAAGTATGTTCTCTCTGCAAAGAGAATCAGAGTCATAGAATGGTTTGGGTTGGAAGGAAGGTTAAAGCTCCTCCAGCTCCATCCCCTGCCACAGGCAGGGACCCCTTCCACTGGAGCAGCTTGCTCCAAGCCCCTGTGTCCAACCTGGCCTTGAGCACTGCCAGGGATGGGGCAGCCACAGCTTCTCTGGGCACCCTGTGCCAGCGCCTCAGCACCCTCACAGGGAAGAGCTTCTGCCTAAGAGCTCAGCTCAGTCTCCCCTCGGGCAGGTTCAAGCCATTCCCCTTGGCCTGTCCCTACATCCCTTGTCCCAAGCCCCTCTCCAGGTTCCCTGCAGCCCCTTTAGGCACTGGAGCTGCTCTCAGGTCTCCCCTTCAGGAGCCTTCTCTTCTCCAGGCTGCCCCAGCCCAGCTCTCTCAGCCTGGCTCCAGAGCAGAGCTGCTCCAGCCCTCGCAGCATCTCCATGGCCTCCTCTGGACTAACTCAAGCCCCACATCTTTTTTGGGTTTGGGACCCCAGAGCTGATACCTTGTACACCATACATCTCAGTAGTCCTTTTGAAATACAGCCCACACGCACTTTTGTGGCTTACTGTGAAACCAGGTCACTGCTATTTCTTGACTGCAGTGCTAGGCAGGTACAGCTTCTAGCTGTGATAATACCTTTGGATTGCAGCATTAATATCTTCTTAGTCAGCATCTTCTTCCCTATTACAGTCAGTCAGGTTTAGCCAGTAATTCCAGAGTCTATCCCAAGGGACATGTGCCAAGAGACAAGTGTCTTTTCTGCACGAGAGCTTGGAGCTACAGATAACTGTTAGCTGAGAAGCACATGAACTTGGTCATACAGGCAGTAGTTCCCAACTCTCCACCCCTTCTGTAGCTGTTGAGTCATTCTGGTTTGGGTTAGCTGGGACATAACTTTTGATAACTCCCTCATTTTCTGCTTTGCCTTAAGTAATATCCAGCTTTCCTGCCCAGTCCTCAATGAAGGGAAAACTCCAGCATTACCAGAACTTTCTGAGTTCTCATCTCCATCAGGAACCAGACAAGGTGATGTTGCATCTCTCTGCGGCAGCTCACGTACTCGGGTAACCCCCAGTGACTGCAGGGGTTTGATATGATGGTGCTGATGTTATCCTGCTGCAGCTGCACAGATGTTCTGTGCCGATGTGATGCTGCTTCTCTTAACCCGTATCTCTCTGGGCCATGCACAAGCCCTTTGCCTTGCTCTGCTCTTGGGCAGGGCCAGCAAGCACAGAACCGTGGCGATGTTCCCCCAATTCTCTTGAAGTGCAGTGAGTTGGGTACAAAGCCCTCCAAAGGTGGTGTCCTGATGACTTTCTCTTGAAGAACCTCAGCTTGATGAGCATAATGGATCATCCTCCCTTTTTTCTAAGCATGAGACAGCCTTGGGCAGTGGCAGGGGAAGGTTCAGCTGCACTGGTCAAACAGCAGTTGCAATGTCCTCTTGAACCTGGCACCCGCCTTGGCTGCTGGGGCCTCCATGTAATTTTTAACAGAGGTCAGAGAGGAGCTCGCTGCTGCTGCCACAGACATCTGGGAGAGCTGCAGACATTTGGAGCTGCCTGTGCCCTGGGGGAGCGAGGCTTGGTGGGCCGTGGTGGTGGGTTGTCATCCAGCTCTGGGTGTGTGAGTGCTCGGGGAGGTGTCTCAGGACACGGCCAGTCCTGACTCTACTTCATGTGACACAGAGAGGGAGGGAAGACTTGTAAAAGCTCACTCTTGTGGAGGAAATTGAGTAAATCTATGGAGGCTTTAGGAGTACAAGGCTTGCTTTCAGAAAGTCATCTGTTAAGGGAAAGAACTTGTTCAGACAGAACTCATGAACTGCTTTAAATGGGAATATAGGATTGATTTCTTCATCATCTTGCCCCTCTTCAAAAGGGGATGGGCAGACCTGAAGAGGTCTGGAGTTGGCTGGTGCTCCGTCGTGATGGCTGAGGGAGAAAACATCTCTGTGATAAATGAATGTACGAGCAGCTGAAAAGGAGCCTCTGTAGTTTAAAATAATAATGTGTTCCAAAGGGGAATTGTCTGTCTAACCGATAAAGAGGTACTGGGGAATTCTGATCTGAATGCGTGTGAGAAGAACAAGGGTGAACACAACCTAGTGGGCTATGTGGGGGTTGGAACTAAATGATGTTAATGTCCTTTCCAACCCCAGTCAGCCTGGGATTCTATGCAGATTTTGCTGTTAGCAAAAGCAAATACAAGTCCCACTTGCTTCAGGGCTGTGAAGTCTCCTCAGCATCAGTCCTTCTGCTGAGTACACTTCCAGGACACACCTTGTGTTTCAGGGACTGGCTTTCTCAGCAGGTTTTCTCTTTTGAGAGTTCCTGCTGAAACCTCAAGAGCAAACCCCAACAGCCAGTGTGTGAGTTTCATCATTCCCCCACCAACCCCATGCAGTGACGGCACACTGTCCAAGAGCCAGACCATTCCTCTGCCATTCCCAGTATCCTGACAAATGCAGGGAGCTGGTGCTCTGCAAGCCCAGAGCCCTGGAGCTGTGCTTGGGTTTGTGGTATGCACCAGGCAGGAACTCTGAATAGATGGCAGGAAATAGAGCAAGTTGGAATGAAAGGAGTCTCTCTCTCTCTGAAGACCAACCATCCCAGGGCTCCTGCAGCATCTGACAACTCACTGCAGTGAAGAGGAATGAGCTGCTTAAAGGGAAAACAAAATCACGCTCACGTTTCATGAAAGGAGATTGAAAAGCACCCACCCAACCCAAGTGGTCAGTCAAACAGTCCGAACTCCACACAAGAAATGGGGAGCCCCTGACAGACCCCATTAGGCAGAAGAAATTCTCTTGTGCCAGCTGGCTGACCTGCATACTTTTGTTACGTTTTCTCCCCCTTGCATAGTTTACATACTTAAAAATACAAAAGCGAGTGATAAAACTCATTCAACCATTAAGTGAACATTGAAAATTCCATAAATGAGGCTGGCCAGAATTAAGTTTCCTGCATGTATGAAGGATGTGTGATAAAAACTGAGATGGATCGAATGTCTCACCTAATGTACAGATGTTTCTTGGTTTTCCTACATTTATTTCTGAGCTTATTATCTCAGCTTTAGTTTTACTTGCACAGTGAAGCCTTTACTATAACCAATCCTTCTGTGTAAGACTTGTTGACAGCTAGTTAGGTCTGGGAAGTTGCAGTTTTATGGGATGGATTTACTAGGAACTTCTAGATGTAAGTGGGAAGGGAAAAGCAGATGCAGCAACAATTACTATTACTTTATTTTTCCTAAGAGACACCACAAAACGACCAGGATTGAGATACGGTATTTACAACGCTTTAGGCACCATCCAGAAACCTTTTGGTGTGGAGTTGTGAAACTGTCTCCAGCCTCTTAGGAAAGTGCATACTTGCCCTATAGGAAATGGTTGGATTTGATGATCTTAAAGGTCTTTTCCAACCTGGCTGATTCTCTGATTCTGTAAAAACATCTGAGAATCTGATTTCCTGTTGGACCTTTTCACATTCTAGGTGCAGACTAAAGAAATAATTTCCAGGTTTGAAGTGTCTGATAATGGAAGAGCAGAAAAACCTAGAAAATAATGAACACAGCTGAGACCTCTAGTGAGATATCCACAGAGGCTGGGACACTCAGCAAGTCTGTGGTGCCTCTGAGCTGTATGGTGCGGTCAACATGATGGAGGGAAGGGATGGGATCCAGAGGGGCCTGGACAGGCGGGACCATGTGAACATCATGGAGCTCATCAAGCACAAGCTGCTACCCCTGGGTTGGGGCAGTCCCAGGCAGACTCAGACTGGGGGAGACTGGATGGAGCAGCCTGAGGAGAAGGACTTGGGGGTGCAGTGTTGGGTGTGGAGCAGCTCCTCATGACCCATTGGTGTGTGCTTACAGCCTAGAACCCCCCGCCCCGTGTGCTGGGCTGCACCCCGGAGCGTGAGCAGCAGAGCAGGGAGGGGATCCTGCCCCTCTGCTGTGCCCCGGGGAGACCCCTCCTGCAGCCCTGATCCAGCTCTGGGGCAGCAGCACAAGAGGGACGTGGAGCTGTTGGAGCGAGGCCAGAGGAGGCCATGGAGATGCTGCGAGGGCTGGAGCAGCTCTGCTCTGGAGGTGAAAGACTGAACAAAGACCAGAATAGCCACTACTAATTGACTGATCCCCAAAACTGATGAACACTCACTGCACTAATTGCAATGACCACAGAATCATTTAGGTGGGAAAGCACCTTGAAGATGGAATCCAACACTCTGAAGATGTTAGAGTTCCCAGGTGAATGTGGTTTATGGGCTGTTTTGCCCAATTTCTCTCTAAAAGGCCATTCCGAAGCACACGGGTTTATAAGCTTTTAATGCAAGGTTCAGGCAGTGCTGCTTCACAACTCATTCAGTCAGCACTTAGGCTGATTGATAACTCTCTTACTAGATTGTGTCTATTAAATAATGCTGTAAGGTTAGTATAGATCTTCAACCGTCATTGATTTCCTGTTACGTGGAAGTGAATTCACTCCTTTTAGCCAAGTTTGTTTGAAAAAAACCAAAAACCCTCCCACCATCAATCATCATTTCAGCTCCATCTTCAGAATGCTTTACCTGAAGAAAGGTTTGAGAACTGGGACTTGCATGTTAAGGTTAAAAAGAACATCACTGAGGAGATGGTGTTTGTGTCACCTCTGATGCTCCACGCTCACCCAGAAAGTGCAGCTGAGCACTTGCAAATCCAGTAGCCAAGGCAAATCTCTCAGAGAAACCAGACTTTCAGCTGTTCAGGAGCATGAGGCCTTTTTAGCAATTGCATTGATTTCACCTATTCTGAATTAAAACTCACAACAAACACCTGAGGCAGAGGCAACAGCAGTGCTCATTGATGAGGCTTAATGAATCATCAGTCAAAAAAGGGTAATGCTCATTCCAAATAATCTCCCTTTTTGAAGTCTGTTTTATACATCTCGATAAGGACAACTGGACTATGATTGAAGGTGCCCAGCTCTGTCTGAGTCCCCTTGGTTCTGGAGCTCACCATGTGTACGTGATGCCCAGCACCAGCTCCCTGTCCTATCAGGCTGATTTCATTTGAAATCGTTGCACCCTTTTAAACCTGGGAGGGTATCAAGGAGCTGAGTTGTGCCTCTGGGATTTGAGAATTCAAATCAGAATCAGCTCAGAATGGCAGTGGGTTGGTTGTTTTTTTTTTCAAATAACACATTAGTCCCACAGCTCTATTATAAGCCTGCATGATGGGTAATTTGTTTTGACCTTGTAACACATGGCCCCCAACCTTCAGAGGTACCTGTGTATTGCACTGTGCACAAATCATCCTCCTGAACACTGCAGGGTTCTTCACATCCTTGGCATGAACAAATCTTTGCAAGAGGGAACCCACTGTGGCTGTAACTGCCAGTTCCAGTGCAACTCCAACAAGAGTATAAAGCTTCAAAGTTTGCAAAAGCTTATCATATTTAAAACAAAAACAGACACCAAAAGTGCTAGGAAAAATGGAATCCAATACAGATACAGTTAAGATCAAGTTGTTGCATGAAGAAGGCAAGTGAGATAGTGATTCACTTATTGAAATGATTTAATGTACAGGTTAACTGGCTTCCCAACTTGGAAGCAGAAACAGCTACAGATTATATACAGACCGTGCTGTTGCACTGTTCTCCTGGGTTAGATAAGACCTTCATAGATCAGTGGGACTTCTGGCACTTTAAATCTTTGATAGTTCATTTTTCATACAGGACAAGAACAGAATCTATTCTTTTTGGAGTTCTGATATGGGAACAGTAGATTCTTTAAAAGGTATACACAAAAGGAATACTTAGAGGTTGACATGTAAGGCTGCTCAGCAGTAATGTGTTTTCTCATGCTTTTAAGACTTCAACCAGCTCTGGTCTGCCCCGTGTACTTCCCAACAGATTTGGCATAGACTGGCTGCTCTCAGATTCCACACCTAACATAGGTGAAGAGACAAAATGATTTATAGTTGGATGGGAATGATGGAAAATAGCACTTTTTTTTTTCTTTCCCCATTTCTGTTAATTCTATGAATTCAGATTATGCAACGCTCTGCACGATACGAGTGGGAGGTGGAGCATACATCTGCCCAAGTATGTGCTGTGCTCTATAAAAAGTAAGTGTAGGAGCCTCTGCAGCTCCTACCTCACCACTTATCTCAGCTGCAAACAGAATTTCAGCCTTGCTGGTTCCTCCTGGTCCCTCTCTCGCTATCCTTCCACCTTGTCACACCTCAGGAAGCCAGCTGCACCTCAAGGCTCAGACTACAAAATAAACACGGATTCCTATTATTCCCCTCATTTGTTTGAGGGTGCTTGTTTGGGTTAAAGGCGGCAGAGCTGAGGCTCCAAGGGTTACGCTCTCCTGCCTATTCCGGAGTTCGCAAAAAGCGGGTGCGGGATGAGCGCACCCCAACGAGCAAGGCCCCAGGCTGCCCAGCTCCGGCGCTCCCTTAGCAGCGCTCCGGGTTAAGGGATGCCGCGCAAACCAACCCTGAGGAAGGGGCCCGTCCCCCGCTCCCCTCCGCCTCGCCTGGCACGGAGGTAGCGGCCTCCCCCCCCCGCCGTGCGGCCAGCGCTGAGGGACTCCCCCCACTCCCTGCAGCCCCCCGGGGGCCTCCGCGCCGCGCGGCCCGGGGGTGGGAAGGGACCGGCGAGGGGCGGGCGGTCCCTGCCCGCGGGGGGGAGCGAAGCGCGGCAGCCCCCTCCCCCGCCTGCCCGCTGGCTGCCGCCTTCCCTCACCGCTCGGCCGGGCTACGCCGCCGCCGCTGCCACCACCACCACCACCGCCGCCTCCATCTTGTGCGGGTGTCCCCTGCGCCCCCCCTCCCTTTGCCTCCGCACGGCACCGAGAGCGGCGGCAGCCCGGGGAGGGGGTGAAGGGGGGTGCTGGGGGGGAGAAGCGACACCGGGGCAGGAGCGGCGGCAGCGGCGGCATGAGGAGGTGGCGCTGAGGCGGCGGCGGTAGCCGGAGCGGACGGAGCCGACATCTTGTGCCCTCCCCTCCCGCCGCCGGCTGGGTGAGCCCGTCCGCCCCTGGGGGGAGGGGAGGGGGAGGCGGAAAGAAGATATAAAAAAAAAAGGAAAAAAAAGGAAAAAAAAAACATTAAAAAAATATCCCCAAAAGGAGGCGGTGGCAACGGCGGAGCCCGCACTGAGGCGGCCAGGTAAAGCGCTGCGCGGGAGCCCGCGACACCCTTCCCTCAGGGGGTCTCCTCCCTCACGCACCCCCCGCGCCGGGGTCGCGGGAAGGTGACCGGGGAGGGCGGGAAGGAGTCGGGGGCGGCCGGTGCGCCGCAGCCTGCGGAGCCTTCATCCCCGTTCGGTCCCCGCGCGGCCGGAGCGGCTCCGCGGCCTCTCGCTGAGGGGGAACGGCGGCGGCGGTGAGGAGCGCCCGGGGATGGGGAACGGGCAGCGCCGTGTCAGCCGGGCCCCCCCCGCGTCGCCATGTTGCCCTCCCCTCTCGCGCTGCTCTGGGGGGTCCCCGCCCACCTTCTCCCACGCTATTGGCCCAGGCGGGGCTGAGGGCAACCTCCCGTTACAGCCGCAAAGCCCTGCGCTCCTATTGGTGGTGGGGCTGGGATGGGCGGCGGTGACAGCCAATAGCCTTTGGCGCTGCCTGCGCTCTTCCTCTCGTCCCGTTCTCCGTGGGCATGTTTTTCGCTCCCGGGGCCCGTGCCCCGGTGCTGAGCCGGGAGAGGCTTTGTTTCTGTCCGGGTCCCTGCTGCGGCTCGGCCCACATCACAGGCTGCTAATGGGGCTCCCTGCAGGGATCCCGTGGTCCTCACTGTGCAGGGTAGCTCCAGGCTAGCACTGAACATTGCTCATGGCGTTTCACGGTTCCGCCAGCTGCTGCTGAGGCTGGACACAGATGATGTGCGCTGTGATCTGTTGCTAAGCTCACACTTTACCTTAAACTTCATTCTCAGCCCAGCATAATCATAGAATCCCAGCCTGGTTCATGTTGGAAGGGACCTTAGAGCTCCTCCAGCTCCAACCCTGCCACAGGCAGGGACCCCTTGCACTGGAGCAGCTTGCTCCAAGCCCCTATGTCCAACCTGGCCTTGAACACTGCCAGGGATGGGGCAGCCACAGCTTCTCTGGGCACCCTGTGCCAGCGCCTCAGCACCCTCACAGGGAAGAGCTTCTGCCTAAGAGCTCAGCTCAGTCTCCCCTCGGGCAGGTTCAAGCCATTCCCCTTGGCCTGTCCCTACAGGCCCTGGTCCCAAGCCCCTCTCCAGGTTTCCTGCAGCCCCTTTAGGCACTGGAGCTGCTCTAAGGTCTCCCCTTCAGGAGCCTTCTCTTCTCCAGGCTGCCCCAGCCCAGCTCTCTCAGCCTGGCTCCAGAGCAGAGCTGCTCCAGCCCTTGCAGCATCTCCATGGCCTCCTCTGGCCTTGCTCCAGCAGCTCCACGTCCCACAAGGGCATTGCTGCCCCAGAGCTGAACCCTGTGTTCCAGGTGGGGTCAAAACATCCAGTAGTGATGGCACAACAGTTGAGGACCCTTTCAGCAGAAGGGGCAAGTGCATTAAAAGTTGAACCTAACCCTAGAATTGTCTCACATTGTCCCTGATCCAGCGGGAGGTTCTCTCTTGTGGCCTGGTGCATCAGCTTGGCTACAGGAGTACCAGGGGGTCTGTAAAGATCTCTGTGTATGCCAGGGCAGGTGACTCTTGGCGGTGTCTGATGAGCATTGACACACTTTGTAGTAGATGTCAGTGTGGGTGTGGGGAGCATAAACCCTCGGCCGGAACATGAGGTAAATATGGCCCCAGGGAGAGCATGGAACATGGAGGGACATTGGCAAGGGCAGCAGGAATTTCACCAGCGTTTTGGTTGGCAAAGGAAAGGTGGAAATGGGGCTGCGACTGTTCCAGGGTGTTTTTCCCTCTGGCATCCATTGCTTTTAATTTATTGATGTGTTTCTTATATAGCTCCATGGGTGTCTGTTCCCCACGGCGCAGGAATGGGTTTTAAAAGGCAAGAAGCAGCTGCCCGGAGCTGCGTGGCTGCCAGCACAGGACAGCGATGAGAGGAACATCTCCAGACCTCATGTTTGACTTCATGTCCTGAAGAGTGGCAGAGTTTGGTAACCTTGAACCTCAAACTGTTTAGAGCTGTATGAACTGTAGCCACTGCCAGTAGTAGTGGTGCACCAGAGTGGAATGGGAGCCACGTTGTTCCCATCTGCTGCAATCACTGAAGTTCTTCGTCATGGAGGGACCTAGTTCTTCACTGGGATCACCAAGCTGTGCTGGGAAGGGCCAGGAAACTTCCCCAACAGCGCTGCCTTGAACTCCAGCCTTGTGTCCTCGGCAGGTTAGCAAAGAAACCTGGTGCTGGAAAGCAGCTCCTTGGTTGTTCAGTGTGGGAAGGCTGGAAAAGGACTGCAGTGGGAAGGAGGGGTGGGAAGGAGGCAGAAGTCTTGGCGGTGCAAGAGGGTTCCTTTGACCTTGGGCACGGCCAACACAGTTGCATGGGTGTAAATTACAGCAGCATTTAGCCCTTTAGAGGATCTGCTTGCACTGGATTTTCCAGTCTGTGTGTATAATAGGGGCCTCTATTGTGATGCTGTTTAGTACATGGATCTCTCAGGTTTTTTCCCGTGGAGCTTTTGACCCATTTGTACTAAATTTAAGTCTCCTGATGGCAGGCTTATGTTTTTTTAGTCACCTTTTGCAGCCCCTGCCCCCGGCATCTCTGGCCCACCAGCCTGAAAGCTGCTGGTCAGGAGAACTGAACAGCTCCTGAGCAAACACCTTGGGTAGAATTTAAGTTCATCCCCGTGGCTTCCTGCATTCAGCCACTGTGCTCAGTTGTGTTCTCTGGGAATCTCACCCCCTGCTCCCGGCGCAGTACCCGGCAGAAATGGATGATGGGAGCGTGGTTCGAAAGCCTTGAGCACACTGGTGACAACGAGGGGACAGCTGAACTTTCTTCTTTCACCTCATCAACCTTTGTCCATGGTGGGACAGAGCCCTCATGGGCTGGAACAGCATTTAGCCCCACTGAAGCCAAGTCTGTTCAGCGTTTCAGAGTGCACAGGTGCTGTTTGCAGAAGGATTCTTTTTTATCTGTGACTGGGAGGTGTTTTCAAGTGCGCCAAGAGGATCAAAACGTTCCTAGATTGTGCTTCAAAGTTTCTGTTGCTGCGGGGAAGGTCACAGGGTTCAGTGCTCAGTGTCTCTGAGCTGTTTCATTGCTGCTTTCAAGGTATTTTGGAGGTGGGTAGCTCTGTCTCTCCTAGTATCTGGGTGCATCTCTTATCCTGGGCACTCAGCTCTTGCTGGCAGAGATTTCAATGCTGGTTTAGGTGCTTCTGTGTAGCACTAAGGAATAGTGTGTTTTACAAATGGGTTTGTTTATGGCAGTGGTGGAAATCCCACTTCAGGTAATTTTGCTAGACAGTACACTGATAGTTTCACTAAAGCATCAGGAACCCCAAAGCCTTTGTTTATCCTTTCAAGATGTAAAATAAACCTTCCTTAAGATGCTTGTTCCACTGGAATTTGCTCATGCCTCAGCACTCCCAGCTAACACCTTGTTTTTCCTGAACACAGTATTAATGATGAATGTAGTCAGCTCATGCTGCTTACTTTATCCTCCAATATCTTTCTTCTCATATACCTTTTTGCCTCCAGTATCTTCTGAATTTGGTACTTCTCTCTGGAATAAGCTTCTGGAAGGGACTTCTTCTCGGTCCTGGTCCTGCGAGGCACTGCTTGCTCTGACTCACACATTTGAGCCTTTGTGGAGCTGTGTCCCTCACAGCAGAAATAATGCAATGGTCAAGAACAATTTATGGGTTTGGAGTGGGTTTTCTTGTCTGCATGTCCCACACAAAGGGGCTGAAAGTGTGGATTGGCTTAAATAAGGGTGAGGTTCTGGTTCAGGCCTCTGTGTAGCAACAGATAAGCTCTGGGCTAACTTATCATTTGCTTTTCTTTGTCTCCTCTTGTTTGTTTCAGCCTCAGCCCGTTTCTTCCCAGAAGGCACGTTCCCATCCCTGACACTGCCCTTCTCACTTGCCTTACTCACTTGGCTTCCTCTGTTTTCCCTCTTTGCTGCCTCCCTCCTTTGCCCTCTGCTGCCATGTCCCCATCCTCCCGCAGATCATCTCATCCAGGCTCCAGGCTTTCTGCTCTGCTCCCTGTGATGGGCACCTCCTTAATGTCAAGGGCCGACTCTCAAATAGTTATCTGGGTTGCTGATTAGCAGTTTGTAAGGGCAGAGCTGGCTTGGGCTTTTCATTAAGGCTCTGGGCAAATACCCTTTCTAGCTGCTTTCCTGCTCGTACCCCTGTGGATCCTCCATGCAGAACTGCCTCAGCTGCCTGAACATGGATTGTGGCTCCAGAGGGGCTAATGCTGACCCAGAGCTAGTAAGTCCATCTATATCCTTGCTGCTTGTTCCCATGCTCATTCCCTCTTTGCTTCCTCAAGGATCCCACTGAAGAGCAGAAGGGTTCTCAGCTAGCACCTGCTGTGTTGCTCAGTTCATTCTCTGGTTGTGTTTGGGATCTTGTGACCCATTTTGCTTGTTGGGAAGGACACGATCCCTTCAGCATGTGGACTGAAGGGACTGAGTGTCTGGAGAGCAGTGTGAGGAACAGCTACATCGGTGAGAGATGGGGGAGGAAAGCTGGAGGATGGTTTTGCACTACTTCTTGCATCCACAGTGTGGGAAGGGAAGAAGTAGTGGACAACTTGGAGGAGCTCCATCCCAACCTAAGGGAGCACCGCTAATTTTCTCATATGGAGCTCCGTGACCAAAAGAAAATGGGAACTGCTTTCATAGGACAGGAACAGTGCTTTCCTTTCCATCTGGAAAACATCCAGCACATTCTGTGTGCTATTAGGGTTATAGAAGAAAAGCCACTGGCAAAAGAAGAGACAAACTCCTTGGCTTGTGTGAATTTAGTATATGAAGGTGCAAGCACAGGCTGGGCAGAGAAGAGATTCAGAGCAGCCCTGCGGAGAAGGACTTGGGGGTGCTGGTTGATGAGAAAATGACCATGAGCCGGCTTCAGTGTGCGCTTGCAGCCCAGAAAGCAACCGTATCCTGGGCTGCATCAAAAGGAGTGTGACCAGCAGTTCGGAGGAGGTGATCCTGCCCCTCTACTCTGCTCTTGTGAGACCTCACTTGGAGTATTGTGTACAGTTCTGGGCCCTCAACATAAGAAGCACATGGAGCTGTTGTAGCAAGTCCAGAGGAGGCCATGAGGATGCTCAGGGGTCTGGAGCACCTCCTGTATGGAGCCAGGCTGAGAACATTGGGGCTGTTCAGCCTGGAGAAGAGAAGCTGCGTGGGGACCTCAGAGCAGCTTCCAGTGCCTGAAGGGGGCTACAGGGATGCTGGAGAGGGGCTCTTCATTAGGGACTGTAGTGATAGGACAAGGGGTGATGGGTTCAGACCGAAACAGGGGAAGTTTAGGCTGAATATAGGAAGTTCTTTACTGTAAGGGTGGTGAGGCACTGGAATGGG